GCCTAACTATACGAGGATGTCAACACAATCAAAATCTAGAGTAAATTAACGTTTGTCGTCAAGGAACTCACGACCTTGGGGTGTCCGTTCACCTTCTAAGCGGCTCCTTGAAACTAGTGTCGTAAGCACCAGATATGTATTGAGAGGCACACGTGGCTACAAGTAGATAGCCACGTGATCAGCGATCAGATAGGCTTAGAGATCAAATGGCTCGTATTGCTTATCACTCTAGAAAATCGTCTACCTTGCTGATAAAGTACTGACGTAGTGAGCGTTTTTTATTCGAACTGGTTTATTTCAGTTGAATGACTGCTCATACCCCCAAGTTCACTATTGAACTATTGTTGATATTGCCAAAATCAGACTCGTCTCAGGGCGCACGACTCGGAAATCAGATTCGTAAGCACTTCGAACTGTGTCAGCTTTGAAGTTGAGAGCGCCTAACTCAGCTAAAGCCAGGAATTTATTAGAATTAAAGAAACTAATCCGGAATTACGGTGAACGGCTTGTGAATTGTAATAAAGCCCAATGAATATAGCTGCGGCACCGCTATCATTTATCAGTATATCGAAATCATAAGTGTGTTAAGTGCCTACGTTGGTTTTTTTTCGTATTTTCTATGTTTTGTGGAAACGCTTGCTCATTCTTCGTAGCGATACGATGAAGCGGTAGAGATAGCAATGGTGTTACAGGCTGATGTTCATTGATAACTTACAAATCCCTTTATACATAGACGATCATATTTTATAAAATATACAAAAGCGAGTTTACTGTGAAAATTACCATTTGTAATAGTAAATCACTTGAGTTCAAGGTGGGGCTCGACGCCCGACCGAGCTAGCCAGGCGCTTATAGGCCAAATAATTTACTCGCGGATCCCGACCGGTTCGACGACCTACGTATAATACAGTTTTCTTTGTGTGGCAATATGTGTGACGGCTTCCTTTAATGGCTGTTTTAAACTACTAAAGTTTTGACAGCAATCGATCTTTCGACTGCTTCGACCAGCTTAACTATTAGTGTACATATAAGCCAGAAAGAAGAAAAAAAACAAGAGATTGAACGAAATACAGCGGAACCAATACTTAGTGGATCTCGAAATAAACGCCAAAAACACTGGCCACAATGAAGCCCTAATTCGAATGATGACGAAACTACATTGCACTGAGTGACAGCAGGCACGGGTGCTAACAGCTACTACAGCCACTACAGAAGCTGGAGTCATCGCCAACTCTTTTTAGGCCGTTCAGGCCTGCTCGGACTGCCTTAGGATGTCCAAGTAGATTAGGTTAAATCAGCCACGCTACAGTGTCAATAATACAAAAGGAAACAAAGCGCGCGGGTAAAAGAACATCGCGATCGACCGTATTCTCAATACTCCTAGCTGTCACAGCAACAGATTTTATCTCGCATGGACTCTAAACGACGTACTTGGAACGCCAGCTGAGCGCGGTCGTAAAACGGCAAAAATCACGTGGTGTCCCCTGGTTATCACACGCTGATAAATGGCAGTTTTCATTGAGCCAATGCCAGCGCGTACTTATCAGTGTTGTCATTGTTAAATCGGTCTAGGCAGCATTTGAACGGATTCGACTCGTTCCTTTCAACTATCCGGTATACTGACATGATCAATGATTTGAACGACGAGAAATCTTAGAGAGTTAAGAACTAGCAACTGGTTTGCAACGGCAGCTGGCGGACAGCAGCTGTTAGGGACGGATCAATGTGTAGCCACGGGCAGCTTTCTTGATAGCTTTCTAGCGCTTTATCTAATATCTGTCTACAACAGTATCGGGCAGCAATCGCAGAATCAACCTCGTAGCGAACGCGTTGACGACCAGCTGCCTTCTGGTCGTATGCACACGTGTACTCATATAAAATGACAGGCATTGAGGTTATATTAGGTTTGGTAGCACTTGAGGGCACGAATGAGGCGAAAATATCATGGGGCGACAGTCTAGCGGCCATAGATATTCTTTGGCATAACACCGACGGCATGGCCTGATCTTTTTTCACCATCTTCACCTCGATGCTTTCCATTAGGTATTAGAACTGTATCTCGTAGCGGCGTCCGCTTTTCAGCTATTTGAACGTTATCCGGATCGCAGAAGACCAAATAAAATTGTGCTCGGTCATGCTGTTGTCTACGTAAATGGGCCGATAATTCATTTGGCAAATATTGGGCCAACATATCGTCGGCGACATCAATAATACTGGACATACGAACAATGATGCATGTTAAAGTATTTAACTATGACGAATCATTCAGTAGTAAAAAAGAAAGTAATCACTTAAGCTATCTGTTTAGATCGACTAGTAAAACTCAGCGTTCACCATTACCGTAGCACCTACGTCTGTCTATACCTCGCTACTAACGTCACTCACATACAAGTCAAATCAAATTAATTTTCATAGAAATTTCTTGGGATTTTTGCTGGAAAACCAATACGTTAGTGACCACAGGGTTACGTTTGCGCCTAAGTCTAGCCTACGTTATAACGAAATCCATTCAGAATTGAACTACCTATACATCGATGAGTACTTTAGGTAATTAACGTCAAGGTATTTTAAATTGCAATCAAATACATAAACATTATTTACTATTTGATCCTTTGAGCGTGCCACCCCCGTGTCACAAAAACAATTTCAGTAGAAGAGGCAACAAAACGCTTTGGCGTACGCCTTTGAACATCTCCCCTAACGACATTTCCCATACAGTGCTAACTATTGAAAATAACATACGTATGTGTATCAAGACATTACTCGGTTTCGTATGATTTCTAAGCGCTTTTAACGTTTCTAATAACAGAAACGATAGCGATAATTTATCTGATAGAAAATAGCGAACAACCGAATGGATGGCACGAAGCGTGAGGCGAACAAATTACAGCCATAAGGTAATTATTGGAGAAAAAAAAATATATATAGGTTACTCGATGGAAAATATATTTAATATAAATGAAGCGAGTTTGGCAACTTTAGTTTAAATGTCAACCGCGTTAGCCTGCTACCAACCATTTAACTTCTCTTATTATATTTCAATAAACTGCGACAGGCTTTATTTGGATTTTTGTTGTTTGATAACTGCGGTCAAGAAGAAAGTGATATGCATAAGATGAAAGTTGTTTATGCCTCATTTTCAAAAAAGTGTACAATAAAAACAGATATAAAGTACGAAGTTTTTAGCATGATCTGAAAATATCACTTGTGGCCTGTTCAGTGAAACCAGCACTGACCGCAAGTACCGCTTGAATTCAACACCTAATCATATTCGAAATATTTTTATAATGGTAAACGTAATATTCGTAGCTCAAATACGCTGCACATAGAAATTAAATTTTAGGTTGAGGGTGGCCAAGGTTCCAAAAAGGTTATCACAAAGTTACACCGAAGCCGACCTCGGGTAAAACAGGTAAAACCTCATTCGGTCAGTCAAATTCCGAAAGCTGCGCTCCCTTGTTTGCCATCGTTTTAGCCCGGAACGAAGTGCCATTCGTTGGGTACCGACTATCAAAGGAGGATCGGATGAACGCGTGTCTATCACGACAAACAACTCCAAAGCTTTCGTCAATTTAGAAGATAGAAACAAAAAACAATATCGACAGTTCAATTTCGTATATAAAACGAGCCTATATCAAACAGTTGATGATTTAGGCTGCGTTGTTATATGACAGAGGCCTTCCTTCTGCTGGAGGATTTTGTTCTGAGATGGTTGTGCGTTGACTTCGTGAGTAAAAGTTTATTGCGCGCTTCGAAGCAACACTTAATTGTCGTTTGAAGCATTTCTCTTTAGGACATTATTTCATCGGTGGCCTACAATTAGCGACCTAACTACTCTTATATCAAGGCAGCACACTTCAAGATCCGTCGTGTTTGTTACGCACACAGTTATGCACCTTTTTTGTATTTTTTGCCTTTCGCGTGGATTATTACTCTTGTTCCTATTGATGTTTACCGTACGGAACCTGGGTTGATCGATGAGAGCCCTTAACAAGTTCAGTTGATCCGAATAACCTTCGCAATGCCGATAGCAAACAGTTGTAAATGTCGAGTATCGAAAGTCGATCGATTCGAAGGTGGTACTATTTCGTGTGGCATTGCTGCGGATGGGCCTGATCCGCTCATGTTAGTTATCCGCACACTCTTCCTTGGTCGAAGGCCATTAAAGGCGGTAAAATAGGTTCTGAGCGCACCAAACATGACAGAACCGATTAACATCACTGGCGAATTGATAAGTAAAAATTAACTCGTGCCGGCTGATATCGAAAATTAAATTTCTATACATCTATACGATAAATGTTGAAGAATCTCATACATCTGCTAGAAATAAAGAGCATGCTGCTTAAAAAGTTATGTAATTTTTTCAGCGTAATGTTAAAAAAAACACAATTCAGGTATCAAACATTATATCTCAACTTTCGTAATCAGTTCTAAATAATCTTCTGTTTTTGCCCATAAATTAATTCAGCTGACAAAATGGGTAAAAAAATATGGAAATATGAATCCTGAGTGATCAGCCCTCCGTTTGATTGAGCTCGCCACGTAAGTTTCGATAACCGCTTACTTTGTATCCTATCTTGTCAAAAAAAGCCTACTCCATTGAAAAAGTTTGCCTGTCCAAGTTTTCGTTAGTCTATATTAATACTATTAGTAGTTTCTTTTATAACAGAAACAAATAGCCAATAACTGATGCGTTCAAATAGCCGCAAAAAACTTTTTAAGAACTTTTAAGACCTAGATGATGTCGCTATATGTCCTTGTTGTACAGTTTTGCAATAATGCTTAAGATAAAACTGCGTGTGCTTCTTCAATCTAGCCATATTTTCTTTGCACAGAATGCAATCGGTAGCTAAAATAAATTCAGCCATCCTAGTTAAGTTGACATCAATATCGACATATTCAATGCAAACAACTTTATACACCTACGCTTCTAGGCACGTATTAAACATATGTACGTATGTTCTTCCGCCGCTTGGCCGGTAACACAATGAAGTACTTACCATGAACCGGTACACACTTTAAACGCACAAACTACTGTTTTATGCAGAATACAGTTAAATGCACAGATACCACGTCAGACACAGGTCGTGCGCAATATGCATCCGTGGCTCACGCTGGATAGTTGATGTCGTTGCACAACAACGGTTGAGACGTCCTCCACAATTACCGTTCCAACGCCTCTTGTCATTTCGGCATCAGACCAGAGTCGGAGGTGCGGGCCAGTAATGTCCATTATGAGGAAAAACGGGGTTAGGAAAACGCTCGAGGGGCCTATGTAGTCTTGCTTCTGTTTTATCTACTTGTCTGGCTGGGTAGCTTGTGAGTAGTCTCAGTTTGAGATCGTAGACTGCACGGCGCCCCTTGCCGCTGTCGCTCGCTGACCCGCTGTGTTTTCTTCATATTGGACTAATACAGTTGTTGCTAATCCTATTGACAGAACCAGGGCTCGCAGCTGTTGCGGAAAGCCAGTTGTATCAAGTTGTTGCCAAAAACTGCTATCGACAAAACGAGAAAGGACCGTCGACCTTTTTCTCGGTCGCTTGACTCCGACCCGATCATCATGTTGCTGATGGCGTCAAGCGAGTGTTTCACACTTGTCGCTAAACCTTCGGCTGTCGAAGCTCGATACCTGGCCAGTCGACTGGCGAGGGTCAACCGGTAGACAAACAAATGGCTTTCTCAAATAAATACTGTATCTGAAATATTGCGAGAGAGGAGATAATCAGTTAGAAGATGGCCCTCTACTTTGCTGTAGTGTCCCATGTGAATACTTAGGCTTAGGCATCTCTATGACATTCAACCCTAACTGCTAAATTGCATGACGACATACGCTACAGTATATTACTATGCATTAGAATATATTATTATGACTGCCGAAATAGCCGACACTCCAATATAAAATACTTCTCTTTTCGTGCATTTTTGGAAAGGCATCTTATTTTTATACAAAATGTATGTGGATTAACTATCTTTACCCCAACCCTAGCAGTGCAGTCTGCTTAGACTGCAACATTGAATTCCCGTGGGGATGTACCTTATGACACGTTCTCTACATGAGAACGTGTTAATTGGCGTCCTGATGCATCGCTGTCTTTGGTTATTTCTGCTGTTGTGCCTCCTATTTCTGTCCTTTTGGCTCTTGCAACGGAGATGAGTTACCGCGAGTGTCTTCGAAACTAACGCCATCCCGTGGGGTGTCTGCGACTGCACTTGACATCTGCAAAAGACGATCCTCCGTGGCCATGCCCAGACATAATGGTGCCGCACGTGAGCCCCGTTCAGCTAGTAGAACACTCGTGACGATGGAAGACGTCACGCTGACCAGACAGGCATGGCGTCTAATCTATAGCGATCGGAAGAAAAGGAAGACTGGCGATTACTAACAGTAATCGTTGCAATGGCGCGAGTGGAAATGCTCGGACGATTTTTTTATAATATCTATTTGGTAAGCCTCTAACTTCGAGAGGGTGCTGGATGAAACGGAACGGAACTGTAAAACGTCAGGCAAGTACGTAATACGTAAATTCAGCCAGTCGCTTGCAATACTTTCAAATATAGTCCTCATGGCACAACAGGAACTAGGCTTATCGCTTCATAACAAACTTTACTTCGTCACGGCAAAAAAAAAAATAGAAAGCCTATCTCGAAGAATATAATGCATAGCGTTTAACTTTTACAAAGTGGCTTGAGCCTCTAATTCAGGTTCATACCTTGTCAGTCGCCAAAAATGCGATGTTTATCTACATTACGAGGAAAGAAAAACCACACTAAAAATAACTCGTATATCTTTATTGACTGTGGAAATTTTTCGAGCGCTTTCAGGTCACCACTAATTACTCGTATGATTTGTAACCAAAGCTGGTTTTATACGATAACCCAATATAGTCCGCAGCGTATAGTAAACCGCATGTAAATTGCCAGCGGGCACTTGATTTTTGTTAGATACATACTTATTTCTTCATAGTGAATTATATATACTTATAAACCTCTAGATCACATCTATTCAGTTGTTTTTCAGTTATAGATGTTGTGTGATTACCAACGGGGGATGAATTACTTCAATCACCACATTTATTGTTGTTATCATTTAACTGATATAATCCTAATAGTTGTAATGTTTCTCTCTGATTCATTCATTTTTAGACGAAAAAGAGCTCTGACTAGGAATCGCACGAGTCAAGTTATAACGTTTTAGCCCTGAATGCCTTTCGTCCGATTGCGCTGTTGATACTATTGGTCGGAGTGTGGCAATGTCCGGAGTTTGTACGTGGGCCCGTACCGATTCGAGCGACGCTACACGGTTACCGGACCAAGCGGATTACTGAATCACCTAGGTCAGCAGGTGGATTTCCAGTATGAACTATGATAGAGACAGATTTGTGTTGTACCTGTGTCGACAACGGTTGCGTAGTAACTTTTCCGCGGCACGTTTCCGGTAATGGTAGTAATGGTTTGTAGAATGGCTATCAATAGCCGCTAGACCAAACTTGGTCAGAAGTCTGTTCTACTACCTTAGTTGCGATGGCAGTACTGGTTTCGGCCGGCCAGAACAGCGAGTGCCAGTAAAACCTCTACCCTAATCGATTATCTAGTCATATCTTTCTAGCTTTGTTTCGAATATAGCAGGCAATAATTATCATCATGGATAAGCGCGGAAGGATCTCGTTGTGAGGAGCACCTACAAATCGGCATAAGTACGTGCGTGCATTTTTGTCTTTCATACACTGCGCACTTATGGCACAAGTAACGGCAAATCGGAGGTAGAAGCGGCGCAGACAGTTGTTGCAGCTTCCAAAATGTACTTATATATACATTGTATATATTATACTTTAGGTTATTATGGACAACAGTAAATTCAGCATCGATAACTGTAACCGTAGCATGTTCATCTCAATATGATGTTTTCGACTCTTTCTGTTATCGCAATTTTCGTAGGGAGCGGCATCAACAGTAGTAAAAACTGGCTCATGGAAAAACGCTATGGAAGGGACATACTTAATGTTTTACTCTGAGTACCGTAACTATGCTCCCTCTACTTTCCGGTGATGCCAATGATTGTAGCTGCAAATTAACTACTTACATTTTCAATAGTCCATTTAATCCATTTTATTTTCTATTACATGTTGCATGCGTGTAGAAATCTCCCTTGCTGTCTGTTCTGGCCCACATTCAAACCATTCAATTACCGGGCCATACTATACTACCGTAGTAGTAAAGGAACGTTTCCTGTTGCTCATCTTGTTTTTGTTGGCGTCGTTCGCTCGTCGAAGCTATATTTGTCCATAGATTCTCGGCTTTCTTCCACAGCATCGCCCTTTCCCGTCTCGTCGACATCGTCATTTGGGTCGTCACCCGAAACACGGCTGGCCGCAAAGCACTGTCTGTTCTATGTCTGTTAGACAGCAACAGATGTCGACAGAGATCACTAGAGAACGCAGAACTGCTCGAGACAAGCAAGAGTGCGTCGGCATCCATGGCTGTAAAATCAACAGTATCTGCGTGCAGCTATATAAACGTGAGATGGGAGGCCGTATACGAAGAGCAGCCAGCCAAACAGACCTCCGCGGCACAGAGCTTTAGCAACTATGACAAAAACAATAGCGCACAATGCATCACTATACGTTATCGCCATTCGAGATATTGTCGTCGGCACTATTCGCTTCGTCACTGTTATTTCAGCTACAATAACAGCGCGCACCCATCAACTGACCGACCAGGCGGCGTGAGCAACAAAGACGACAGGTCGTGGCCAGCCTTGTTAGCTCTTCAACTACAGACACTATTGACAAAATCTGCCGTAATTCTTGTGCGCCTCTCTACTTGCTGTTGTTGACGTTGAGCTCAATCCCAGCATGAATAAAACGATATTACATCATTGGCCTCCTTACCTCTCTCTCTCTCTCTCTCTCTCTCTCTCTCTCCCCTCTCTCTCTCCATCTCTCTCCCCACCTTCCCGCTACAGCAGCAGAAACAACGGAAGCAGATCTGGCTGTTGAGAACTGTTGTTTTATTTTCATGATGCTTTGCTGTCTTTTCTTTGTTTTTTTTATTGCTCTTCCCGTCCGTATCTCTTTGCTACGTTACCTTCCGTATGCTGGAACAAACGAATCTTCACGACACGGCTTGCTTATGAAAACTGCGATTATTACTAGGGCTGGTTATTATTACTGAGGATTGTAGCGAGACATGACAAAGCCGTAAATGAACAAGAAGATTAGGCAAACAAAATAACAAGTGACGAGCGAGATATAGGGAGCCAATTAACGCTGCTGGTAAATTATTGTTTTTTTCAATAGTCGAACTGTGTGCCTCTCTGAGTGGCCCTCATTGATCCTGTGTCAATGGGAAAAGGCAGCAGTAGCTGAAGGCGAGATGGCAAGCAACAAAACACGAAACGATCTCGTTCTTATTTTAAGGGTGCATATGTTACAGTTTGTTCTTTCTGCTCGGATTGGACTTGGGCGTCATTCCATTTGCCAGTAATTCCTTCATTCCGAAAATGGTGATTCGCGTTTTAAACTTGCCTATAGACATGTGTCTATCTACGCAGATATAACGACATCTAGCCAGAACAGAGGGAAGGGGACTCTATATATATATATATATATATATATATATACGACAATAATAGAGCTTAAAAAGGTGTCACGCAGAATTGGAAAAACTGGCAAAGTTCACCGTAGCAATAATACATCCCATAAATATACAGAAAAGCATTTTTATTGATTAACTTAACCCACATGACTAATCCATGAAATGGTACACTTATAATCCTTACAATTATTAGACAATATACGCTTAGAATAACTAATACTAATGCTGGGCAATATATGCCCTGCACCCAACGAGGGAAAATAGCAAAGGCTGAGGCCAGTATTAACTACTCTAATCACATGATATCGTGCTATAATTTGGCTTCCTTTCTAAATATTCAATTCGTATTTTTTTTTTTCTAGATAAGGCGAAAATGTAAAAACAAAAAAAAGAACACTAAACATTCAGGTCTTTACCAGTAGTAGCAACAGTGTTTTGTCAAAATTATCAAAACAAAGAGATAACAAACAAGCGCCACACTTGCGCTTGCTTGAATTGCGGAAACAATCAATAGATGTCACAATACTTTAGACTAGGTCATCAAGAGAGTTCAACATTCTATTGGCCTACTTTTATGTGTTTGCATAGAGACACATGTAAGCCTGCTGAATAAATCGGGCTAGATTAAACGAACGCCCTGCAGTCCGTACCCCACAGACGATAAGCTCAGGCTAGCCAACAGAGAAAAAGGCTAATCTCGCGTGTTGGGCAAATATCAAGTTCAGATCGGATCTTCTATTTGCAGCAATCGCAACCTTCCATCATCGATAACTTAACTTGACCCCTTTACATTCCCAGTCATAGTACAAATGTTCGTATAAGTATAGTACCACGTTGACTATTGCTAGTATCACCAGCTTTATTACTATTAAGGACGAGTAACAAGAAGGTATAGATAGACTTATTAACAGGGTCAGAAAATATCGAGCTGTTATTACGGAATTACCGTGAGCACTTGTTATCGTTTATATTTCGTAGTCTACCGTTGCTAGCCGACAGTTGATGTTTTGGTCTCGGTTTTGTTTTGACGACGCGTCTACTTGTACCTGTCTGCACCTCTTCTTCTCCTTTCTTTCGTCTCTTCCTTCACGCTCTCCCGTTTCTTTATTACCTTTTGGCGCACGCCTTTTGGCCTTTGCTCTTCGGAGAAATGATGACTCTGCTCAATTTCTGTCGTGTGTGATTATCGTTATTGCGACATGTGCTACTGCTGCTGCCGTTAATAATAATGATGATAATGATGATCTTCATGATGCCATTGAAGCTGATGACTGCTGCTGGTGATGGTGCTGATGATAACTCTGCCTTTGCTACATCGACGTAGCAAAGCCACGTGCGAGAAAGCAAACACGCATGAGGTTCAAATGGGCCACACCATCACAAACTATTACTTCTAGACAGGAACAGGAATAGTTTGTCGACAACCGGTAATACGTAAGCGGCGCTGGCGGCGACAACGAGAAATCCTTCCTTAGCTGACGCACCGCATTACAATATGGAAGCAATGACCCGCTGTGGCGCTGTCGGTACTATGCTAGAAATCCATTCGTCCATAGTACAATGAGTGTAACACACATTTCCAGCAGCTACAAGCAACCAGCTTGCCGAAGCCGACCAGAAAGAACAGCGTCGCTGGTGATGACGTTACTATTACCAGCAGCAGCAAAGGCACTACTACAAATAGCAGAAATAACTGTGGTTATGACGGTAGTCATCATAGAATTCCTTTGCCTGCAGCTTTGTCATGTTTCCTCTCTCCCTCCGTCCGTCCGCCCGTCCGTTGTATTGACGTGTACGTGAAATATACACGGTACAGTGCAAAAAGAATGGACAGAACCTAATTATCCTCTCATGTCGATCTTGCTGTGATGACCGTAAAAGCTTACACGATATTAAGCTTCAAATTCGAAGTATTCGACTCGCATAGACTCCATGTATTCCAGTTAACGGTCGACACTCAAACGGGTTATTGCTATAGATCACCTGGGCGGGCGGTGCTATGCTCTCTATTTAGCAATACTGTCAATATTATCAGGTAAAAGACAGACGAACGGCCAGCATTTACCGTTGTAATTGCAGACACTAAACAGACTTGGACAACGCACCAATATCGATGTCAGCCCGTCCTACTAATCTGTCTATCGGTGCGACATGAGCCAGGCCCTAAGGGTTAGCGGGCCACAGTTGTATGACTATTACAATTTCCCTCTTAGACAACAGAAAAGCAATAGCAGCAGCAGCAGCAACATCGGGCTTTCGGCGATATCGTGTTAGACTCGCTAATCCACCGAGTTTTTCGTTGAGGAGTTCGCTTTCTTGGCGAAAACAACTGACAGGCACGACTGAAAGATGTGGAAAAAGGGAACTCGGCGATAACGGAGAACAGCTCTATTTGCCGGGGGCTAGAAACTGAAAATGGAAACGGTTTGTAGTTTGAAATGAAACAATTTCAAGTCGGCACGGTATGGAGACGCAGAATCATATGATCTAGAAACGAATGAAGTGAACAAAGGTCGAAAAAATCTCCCTTCAGCGAACGACGGAGGAGACTCATAAATAACAAAGAGCAGTATTGATATTCCCGTCCGCTTCAGACATAACAAATATTCAAGGGTCAATATAGCAAATGACTGATCCATCAGCAAATATTTTGCATAAAGTTTGCCATCATTTCCTTTGACGCGTAGGATAATATTTTCGCTGGGTTAGCATGTGGGTCCAATATTACGATGTGAAATTAATAAATAATATGGTCTGTATTGAAATGTTGCTCACATCTACAAATTATTAATATAACATATCGCGCATATCCTGGCTCTAGGTAAACACGTTGGCTATAGTTCATAGCCAGCGCTTCTCCAACTCAAACTTCACCTTTCATAGGTGCCTAAGATATACCCAACTCTGACCAACTTGTTTATACCGTCTTTGCACTCGAAATCGAGAGATCAGACGTGTGTCGCTCTGCTGTCAAACGATTAGTAACGTTCTATAAATCACTGCAAACAGAGGTTAATACTATGGCGTATATCTACGATAATAGAAAATAAACAAATATCTAATTCTGATCAATAGATAGTGTTGTTATTCACGCTGATTGGAGAACAATGGGTCCACGTAGATTTCGACTGCGACTATGCTACCATTTGCGCCCACCGCGATAGTATTCGAACGCAACCCAAGGCAGGACACAGACTGTTGTACCTGTATTCCGTACCCCATGTCAACAATAATAGACGCGAAGTGGCATAAAAATATATTCTATTTCTTTAGCAATACAAATGTATTAACATGAACATCGCCATTTTAGGGCAATGTAGATACCCTTTTGTTGAACGTAAAATTTTTTTCATCTAGTAAAAGGAAACTTTCGTTTGACTCTGACATGCAGAATACCGCCAGACATACAATATCCGCCTGCTATAATGGATATTCTTTTATGCTTTCACGTTAATATCAAGGTAATGCCAAAATATCATCAGTAAAGCTTCACTAAACAGAAGTGTAGAAGGACAATGAACGGGCATCACTGAACAACGCTACAACGTTTAGTTCTATGACATGCACAATCGAAATCTGTCACGTAAAACAAGATCGAAACGCACTCGAGCAACGGCAGCATCATGGTGCTTTCAATTAAATTGTGTGCCTTAGTTTTCACATAATAAGCAGCGATTACGAGATTATACCGCGTGAAGGCTCAATCTGGCTGGCTGACTGACTGACATGTTGCTGAGCGCCGTGCCTCGTAGGCGCATCTCGCTAGGCGTTAAGGCAAGGCTCTATACGGCCGAGATAGAAAAAATCAGTATATATGCGTAAATTTCTATAGTGGCTTCATACAATCCGGTCTGCGTTGCTGCTTCGTTCGATATTACAAGAGATGCCACACTTTCTCTTGGCGTTACCTACTTAGTGATTTTAGATTTTGAGCTGGGCCAATTGTCGTTTTTTCAGTAATCCAAATTGATCCAGGGCAAATTAATGTTTTGGTATATACATCATATAAAGCAACTACTATTATATTGTCACTGACGATGTTCTACAAGGAAGGAGGTCAGCCTTGACTTTATTTAGACACTGTGTTTATTGATAGCGTCACTGATGCGATCGCGGTTAATTAACTAATTCCTGATGTTTAATCAGACAGTTGTTCAGAATGTACTAGACTATCGTTCTACTGTGGACAACAGTGAGAAGCCAACGCTTTCTTCGTTAGTTGTGGCTTCGCGTCCACGCAGTAACTTATAA